AACCCTGGCCAGTTATTAATCGCCAGGAAATGCCCTGCACCAAGGTTGTTATTGCTATTTTAAGCACAGATTGAGGGGGCGAAATGGATATCTGAGCATACAGGGGGTTTAACACATGATGCCATTTCCTTTGTTGCAGTTTATGGAGGACATTTCTACAATCTACAGTCCTGATACCCAACCAGATCACACAGATTATTTTGAAGCACTCCATTGTACACACAGTAACTCACAAACTGTTAAAACAGTTGGGATTTTTAAGAGATTGTCTTTTCCCTCTAAATAATAGTCTGCATGTTCACACTTTAATAAGATGAACAGAAATATGCAACTCTTCATGTCAGTGTCAGCAGAATTACATTCCAGAAATATCTTTTTAATCATACCGTCTTTATGTTTGGGGCATTTCCTTTGTCAATACTCCTACTTAATGACTGCTCACATATCTCTGCAGAAAAGAATTTTTAGCAGCAACTGCCAAAGCACATCCTGAAGCAGCTTCAGCTGATGCTAGCCATTAAGGAGTTCGTCTTTTCCAATAATCAAACAGATTGGGTCATTTTCTAGGGGATGGCTGGTAAAGTATTTCAGAAACTGCTTTAATTTTCTCCTACTTCTTACCCCGAGGCTAAAGTTTCAAAGATGTGTTCATAGTCCACACAGAACCGTGAATTTTATACTTTTTTTTCCAGAGATCAATAAATCACTTTTAAAATCAAAAGTATATTCTTAGCATATGTCCAAATAGTCTACTGCCTTATTGAACTACTCACTATTTTTCAAACCTCAGCTGTGACAGTAAAACAAACAAAATAGTCATGGTTTTATAACATGTCTAGGAATAAAGTACAGTTCTGCACTAAACTAGTTTTCAACAAAGGTTCTCAACAATGCACTAGTTTCCAAGTGCAAAACAAAAAATACCTTCTCACATTTTCCCTCAAAATCCTAATTTGTCACCACAAACATGTACATCTGAATCATAAATTGATTGTAAAAATCTCACTGAACTTAATATGTGGTCCTATTTTCAGTTACAGATTGTGGTTTCCAGCAATAGATATGTTCTTTCCTAAAATAAAATTCCCTCAAATTGATGGCCAATGTATGTGTTTCCACTTCTTTGCCAGATTAAAAGTAATATTTTTTAAAATTTAGAGTAAAAAACACCAACACTGTATGAATATTGTGCAGCTGGGATCAAACATTATGGCACGTACTTCATGGTCATTTGAACAAAAATGATCAAATACTGTCCGTGGGTAAATTTTTAGGACATTTTCTTGTATTACTGTATGTAGGATTGTCTGAGGTGACCCTCTGGAAATGCAGCAAATCTTAGTAAATTGAAAGTAGCATTTGAATTACAAACCCCTTAGCACATCATTTCAGACTAGTACAAAATATATCTATATCTCAGCTTCAGTTCAAGTAATGTAGTTACATGCTAATCAGGTTGTCAAAAGGTAACACAGGAACAATGGTCCAAAGGTTGAGCCAGGACTGGGAGGCACAGAGTGCTTCTGATCCTGGGTGCAAACCCAAGAGCTCCTCTTTGTGCACTGCAGTGCAAACCCCAGGAATGGCTTACACAGCTCAGCGCCCCTTCTCCCACACGCACCAGCAGCAGCTCCCCAGGGCAAGGCACAGTAGTATTTCCCTAAAAACTTGCCCAGCTTTTAAGAAATCTGTGGCACAGGAATTCCCTGAGTCAGAGGTGATGCTTTCAGGTAGCTTTTCCACTGGGTTTTTCTCAGCCTGTATGTACCTCTGGGACTGGCAATGCCCCATGAGTATGAGCTCCACAGCTGCTGAGCCATGTGGTGAACAATCTCCTATCACTCATTTCCACCTATCACCTTTCTGGTTCCAATCCAGCAAGATGCGAACCACAAAGTGTATTCAAAATGTGAAGGGGAAAAAAAAGAATCAACATGCTGACATAGTGATGGGTTTTGCTTTGTTCCTTTCCTAGAAATTCTGTGTTTGATAAGCTTTATTTCAATGTTATTCAGCATTAAGCTGAGATTTTCATAGTGCTCTCTTACTGTAATCCTAGTATAGTTAGCTTAAAATCACTCACTGTACAAATAAATTTATCATTGGTTTATTCTATCTACATACTACATTCATTTTTTTTCCCCTGGCAGTTCACTGGAGAGTCAGTCAGTAATGCAAGATTCTTCATAAAGCTTTATGTCAGCTCTCATCTTTATCTCCCTACATAACATACTATTATCAGCAAAGTTTACATTCTTAAAATTTTCTCATCTTTCCAGATTGTTAATAAACATTTCGAATAGCACAGAACACAGTACAGATCCCTAAAGAATTTTCCTGAAGCTCTCTATCCATTGTGAAATTTGACTATTTATTCCTTAATATTGTTTCCCATGTTTAACTGGTTATTTGTTCATGTAGGTTTCTTCCTCTAATCTTAATTTATTTTAAATATATTTCAAATATATTTCAAAATAATTTAATTTCTTTCAAATTCCTCTGTGAAGGACCCAACCAAATACTTGTGGAAACCCAAGCTCACTTTTATCATTTGAATTTTTCTTAATGTCCTCAAAGAACTTTTTTTTTAAAGGCATAACACACTACAAAGGGAGCTCTTCACTGTTTTGTTTTTCTTTCTACTAGTTCTATTTTTCAGAATAGCTTTTACCCTATAGTTTCTCAGATCTCTCCCAGAAAACAGATTTTACATTGACTCCACACCAGTTCTCTGCTACTTTCAAGACAGGAGCAGATCTGCTATAGCCAACATGACTATCAAAATATGCTGGTTGATGAGATGATAGATGATAATTTTCCTGTATTTTCTCCTTTTTTTTTTTTTTTTTTTAACTAACACCTAAGCCTCAAGGAATGAAAATTTACACCACTGTATTTTTAGCTTAGACCCACCTCTATTATGATTCGGGTCATGTGATGATTAGGCAGATTTTAAGTGTTGTGGAAGAGCCTTTCCAAAAAAGTTTCCTTCTCTATGAGCAAATGTGATCTTGAAGACACAATATATCAGCATTTCTGCTACTAGCCTCTGGTTTTGTTCACTGTGTAAATCAGACTTCTTGCTGAATTCCTCCTTGGACTGAACATGGAAAAAATGCATCCTGCTGGCTCACAAAGAGCTGAACCAGGATCAGGAGCAATGGGACACCCTCAGGATGGGGGAAAAGCAAAAGCTTCCCTGGAACATGCAGAGCTATGCTGTCAATGTTTCTGCTGCTCTTTTGGAGCAGCTTTTTTCCTTCTCTTTTCTAGGAAGTATTTTTCTTTACTTTTTTCACCCTCCCTTTTTCTTTTGGTGAATGACAAAGAGAAAAAGGAAATGTGGTCATGTGCTCTGAGATCTCTTCCTTTCTCCCCACCTCAGTAGTCACTGAAAAAGGAGGAGCTATGGCCACTCTAGTGCTGCACACTCTCTAGGGCCAAGTGATTCCGTTCCTGGACAAGGCAATGAGTGTGAGTGCCTTATTCCAACCTCACCTTCCCTTTTCAGCTAGGTTTCCTCTGATGTTAAGGGAATGGGCCTGCTGCCAGTTTTCTGTAGTGAAAGGGATCTTTTCCATATGGTGAATTTAACAACTGCTGTGTGGGTTTTTTCACCTCCTACCAAGCATCCATGATGGCTGGCTTTGGGAAGTTTAAGCTGCAGCAATAACAACTTCTGGAGATTTTAAAATGTGATTTGAGGGCCTGAAATTCAGATAAAGCAACCCAGGTAGCTGTTCTGCACCTCTGGGAGTGTGCAGGCATCTAGGATGCCCAGCTTGTGGTTCTGTCCCCCTATGATCTGTCCCTTTCAGTTCACATGGAGAGGCATCTGGGCTTTCAGCAAAGTCCTCTCAGAATGCACAGCACATACCCTCCCCATTAAGAGGATGGGTTGATGTTGATGTTGGTACCAAGTGAGGTCCACATGCGCATGGCCCTACCTGATTGTTTAGAAATGCTTTATTCCAAGATTATAGATACTGAGTTTCTCAATATGCATAAGATTCCTGACACAGAGATACAACTTGGTAGGTATTTGAAGTACAAAGTATCATTTCTCTTCAATAGAAAGGTAAAGCTATCTATACTAGGCCTAGGAAAAGCAAAACTATTGCTTTTTATAACCTGAAGCAAGTCCATGAGTGATATCTCAAAATGCAAATACTATGTACAACATCCCACAGGCTTTTAAATACACATTAAAAGCAAAAGCTATAATAATACCTGCAAAAATAAATTATTACTAGTACCTCTAGTGAGAAATACAACTTTGATCTTCTCACAGTAAAGCTGCGAAGTCCTCTGTATCTTAAAATGTTTTCCACCTAATGTCCCTTAATTTTAAGTCTCAAAGGAGTCTTCAGCAATTTCAGATATCCTGGTCAATTCCACTCAGTAACCAAATTACAGGGTCTACTAATAATGCAAACTTAGTGAGGAAAAAGGTTTTTATAAATAGATTAATGCTGTTCCCACTTTGTAGACAAAGCCTGTTTTTAAAACCTGAGCTGAACCAAGCAAGATTGATATGGAGGACACCACTTCAGGGATCACACTGGCAAATCAATTAAACCTCCCCATGCAAAATATCCAAATAACTGTCGCAAGTCCATTTCTATTCAACTTATAACTTCATCTCTTGGAACATTGCATGTTTCTGCAGCAGAATTTATTTGTAGTAGCAATGCACTCATATGTGCCTCTTAACATTGTAGTTTTCTTCCTCTGTATCCCTTTATCTTCTCCTATCCTCACAGGGTAGAATCAAACCAAATCTGGTTTGTTATGAAAATTTAAAAAAAAATTGAACGAAGAACCCACAAAGACCAAATCCAAACAAAAACTGCAGTCTTATTTCATACTTCTATGGTAGAAAAAAAATCATAATATAAAAACTAATTGCACCATTCCAGGAGATTAAAAAAAATAAATAAACAAATACGAAAAATCCAAAACCAACAAAACCCCCACAATGCTGCAACGAAGATGGTTACCAGCCTGGGATCCAGCGATCTGTTCTCACACTTTCTAGCATGGCTACTCCCAACAGGTGCTCCTGGGACATTCTGAACAAAATGTTGAACAAAAATACATGTTGAACAGCTTCAGCCCTGAAAAGCTGCTGTCTGCTGAGTAACTGTCAGAGAGACTGTCAGCAACATTCCACAAGCAGCAGAACAAACATTAAGACAAGAGTCTTCAGCTTAGTTGGGGGGTCCACGAGTACTTACTGTTTCTAGCAGAAGAGGTTTCTCAATTCAACGCATCATGCCACTGATATCTGAATCACAGATTCAGCGCCACAGCTGACAATCTGGTATCCTATGTACATTCCCTACAGTCATGCAGGAGATCAAACTCATTTGTGCTGCACTAGGAGGCCAAACACTTACTTTTAAGACTTCAATATACTAACATAGCAATATTGAAAAATATTAAATTGGGCATCTTCTTTCAAGATCCAGTTCTTTCATGTGGTACAAATTTCTTGGATATTTGCTTGTTTGTGATAGACTTCTCTTAGTCTGGTAGGGAACAACATTTCTCCTGCAATCTATTTCATGGAGTACCTTGTCAAAGCCCTTGTTTGTACTGCTGTGACCTCCTGCACACACCCAGACTCAAACTAAATAGCATACTCAGGTTTTAAACTTATTTGTTTACCTTATTATGATCAACTGGGCACCAGTTACAGGAAGGTGTAGAGAGACTATTTGGCAATTGTGTTCATCACCTTCTTAGTGAAACCTTGGTATACATTTCTATGCAGAGAAGTTACTGTTTTCAAACCTTGCTCTTTTCAAGCTTGTTCTTCTCAGTGCAAATGCTAAAGCTCCTTGCTTTAGCATGTCACCAAGACGTACTGCCACCACCAGTATTCACAGTTCCCAGCACAGATAATGGCCAGTTTGTAGCTATTGTCAAGTATGTGAATATAAAATTTTAGCAGTAAGTTCTCCTCCTAGGCTTTATAACTTTTTTTCCCAACTTTCTCAGCCACTTCCCAATTATTAAATTTTGTAGACGTTTGCTAACGTAAAAGCAATTTTTTCCCCCGCATTGTTTTCATTCCTGTTCATATCATTAGGGGAGCTCTACTTGGCTGAATTAATATATCCTAGGTAAGCTAATTTCTTGAATGTATCATACTCTGTCATTTTTTCAGCAATGTTTTGGCTGAAAAGTACACCAATACACCATATAATCAGATATCTCCTTGGTGGATGAAATATGAAAGTGGGACTTGTTGTGACATTAGTGTTAGTTCTTTCAGCCCCCTAACTAAAGCACTTTAACCACTGCGTGTCTCAGTCATGAAATGACATTTGTGCATTTCCCACCTGTGGTAGGTTGACCCCAGTAAGCAGCTTTTGATAATACCTTGCCAGGGAACATACAAAATCCAGACACCTTATGCTTTCTCCTCTGCTTGGACCCTTACAATATTTTATTCTCTGCTGGTGGCACTGAAGCAAGTTCCTGGTGGTGGCAGCTTCTCCCTCATCCACTTGAAGTGGATTTGGGGTCAAAGGGAGGAGCTAATACAAGAGCAGGAACAGAAAGACTGGCAGTCAGAGATATTTGAAAGCTACAAACAAGAATCAGAAGACAGAAGAGACAAAGAATGAGGCTACCCACGACAGGGGTTGAAGACAGCACAAGGGAGATGCTGGTTCCTGATTTATGGAGGCAACATGCCACAGTTAAGTGGCATTTCCCAAGGAGCTGTGACTGGTGGTCCTCTTCTGCACAACACATTGCAAAGTTCAGTTTACACCCTAGCCTCTGCTGGGGGAATTTAGCTGTCCTTTATGGTTTGCTTCTTCTCAATGGCACAAGATAAAATGCTGTTGTGGGATCATTTTCTAGTGAGGCGGATATTTTGCTCATATCCTTTTCATCTGTAACATAAATCTCACTCTAACTTGTATTTCACAGCAAAAGTAATTATGTGTAAGTTTTGATTTGCTTTTAAAATTTGCCAGAGTAGGATCAGTTTTTTTACTGTAATCACTTGTGTCCTCATCTGTTTGGCCTTCATTTGAGCAGAAAATGTCATTCTTTGCTTGTTAATTAAGTTCACGCAAACAGTTCTCAGAAAGTGGTTTTGGTTTTAATAAAACACACAATGTTGAAAAACCCTTTCTAGAGGAGTGAACATCAATTGGGTGAAGAAAATTCTGTGAGTTGTAATTATACAGAATATCTCAAAATAAGCACCAAGAGACTTCTCCTCTGAACAAAATTCTGTTTTCAGTTAGCAACAAATTTACCATTATAATTATATGACAGTTCTTAGATGAGTTCACAGGCATGTTTTAAAAATCCCTGTAAGCAATGCCAAGGTCTACTGCTGGGTGCTGCTTCCCCTGTGCCCACGCAGACATTACCAGCCTCAAAGATGCCACAGCAGCAGCCATAGCCAACGTGCAGAGACTGAATTCACATTCTCAAAGTAATAACTCACATATAATGAGGGATGATCAGAAGATGTTCACCCCAGGAACACTGGAAGAGTGGGACTTCTTCATCCCACACACAATGCTAGGTCTCAGAAAATTCAAATCTTCCTTTTGAAATGCTCCTAGTGCTTTTCCTCACAGAAGAGAATGGTTTGATCTCAGGCATAAAGTGCTGTGAGGGGTTTTTGGTGAAGAATACAGTGGGATAGCATTCCCACAGCAGAAATTGCCAACAGTCTGCCTGCATGCAATATCCAGGACTTTTACAAAGGATATAAAATTAAAATTAGGGAATAGAGTATTATCTTTGGGTTCATGCTTTCATTATGATGAAGCTTAGCCACAGTAAATAAAGTTACGAGAATCTCAGCAACGAAACACACAGTCCATTCACAGGGAAGTAGGATATTAAACATGCAGCACTCTCACTGTCAATATTAAATGTTTAAACACTTTTATACTTGCTGATGTGCACATCTGAACAGCAGGAATTAGAAAAAACCTCTTGATTATCTTTAAGTCAAAATATATTCAGGAATGTTCACTGATTTTGCTCATAGCTGAAGCATGGAGGTAATAACTTCAAAACAGAAGACATGCAGGCTCTGGGGTTTCTAGTTCTATCCATTCAAGATAATGATTGAGGAGAATTTTACCTCGTTGTCCTTTCTACCTTGTTGTCCTTATTCACAAGAACAGTAGCTGAAAACCATTTATGCCAGCTAGCTGGTGTCATTACTCCCAACTGTGATTATTACCTTTCAGAGACAGATATTCCCCACAGCCAAACAGGCTCTAACAAAACTCTATCCTTGTAGTGAAGTTAACTTTAAGTACTGGCTTTTTTCACCTAGATTATTCGATTGTTTATAAAAATACTATAAGCATCTTTCTCACTTGGATTAAGAATGAGAAGAACACATATTCATTTTATGATCAAATTCAATTCACAATAACAATTCTTATTATAAATTACATATCATCTTAAATACAAAATTATTCACAACAGAACTGCTGAGCCTCCACACTGGAATCAACTCTTTCCCTTGATATTATCTGTTTGAAAGTAAACACCAGTCTAATAAAAAAATCATGACTGTCCTCTGCATAGTTTTTAACAATGAAATTTTATGTCAATAAAACAATTTGCATTCTATTGAAAAGACACTAAATATGTTGGTTTCAGAGACCTGTAAACTAGAGATTCCTAGTAAGTATGTTGCGTCTTTATGGTTAAGTGGCACTTACATGGTTTGGAAAGTCAGCCTTCAGTTCAGCAATGCTTTTACACCAATATGCTGCTGTTTTCTCACTGATGAGTTCAATGTTTAGAAAAGAGCCTTGGCCTGGGCCATACAGAGGACCTGAAGTAGTTCCACGCACAATCCTTGGAGAAACATTGGTTACAATATCCTGCAAAACAGGAAATACTTTCAGACGGATTTTGCAAAGTGAGCTTTATGTTGTTGGTGTATATTATATAACACAAGCTAAAATGTACCAGATGTTTTAAAAAAAATGCAACTATAGAGCAGTTCTCTAAATTAGCAGATTTTCCAATTAAATTCTTTACATCAGAGGAGAAAAATGTTTTCTCTGTGTGTAAAATGGCATGATAATGTTAAAGAAAACACCAATATTGTACACCTATGAAGCACCATATAAAATATTGTCCAAACAGTGCTTCTGTGTTGGGCAGAATCCACACAAGACCTTGTGCAAAAACCAGTGTGGGCCTCAGTCATGTCCCAGCAGACATGGGAACTGTCCCCCCAAAGGTGGTGCAAGTCCATGTCCTATACTCCTGGGTGAAGCTCAAAGAGGTGCAGCTCACCAGCCTCTCTGCTGCAAAGGCACGGGCCAGGCACCAGCAACAGTGTGCCAGTACATCAAACTTCATAAACAAAACCATATGATCAAAAAAACCCACAAAACAAAAAAAATTGAAAATAAAGATTAATATTGTAAAGTATGACATTTCTGAAGGTCAGTGTGAGGTTAGCAAACAATTTTGAAACACGTAGTAAACACACAAAATGTTGACTTGTTTAGTAGTCTTAATTAAGCCACGATGTCACCAGATCTATATTAACAAAGAACTGTAAATTCTGACATTATTTAAAATGAAAGAGAAACATAAATGGCAAAATGTTCCTTTTGCCAATTTCTAATTAAAAATAATTTTGAGTAAAGGTCATTTATTTACAAACGTATCAGAATTATTTGTTTAAGTACCCCTCCTCACCATCTTGTCATTTTTAGTGAGATAACATGAACCTCTATTAGTATATAGCAATTAAGGTAAATTTACATATTTTAATTAAGAACCATCCCATATAAAACAATTAGGGTAATAGGCATACTAACTGGATTTCATAACATTTGGACGTTTTTCCAGCTAGATAGACAGGAAACCTTAATTAGCATTAATTAGCACTGATCTGCATATGTTTGATAAGGCATACCCTTGCCACAAAAGATTATTTATTCCTGAATCTGCCAAATGCTGCAGTTACAGAGGATAAAGGGACTTTTCTTCACATTGTATGTAAATTTGAGGCAATCTTAATTTGCTTATAAAGTTGAGTTAATTATTATACAGTAAATATGCACTAATATTTTATATTGATACATAGTTCTATGTCCATTTACATATGTAAAAATCATACAAGTTAATCTAGTCAGTTCATCTATTTTCAGACCTATTATGTTGGGAACATGGACATCCCATTAATCTCCCATTTTCCTATTATACTATTTTCCTTTCATCACAAAACCTTCACCTCCCTCTCAACAGTCAAGTTATATTTTCAGAAAAAAAAAATCAGAACACTTTCTGAATTTATGCAAACCAAAACCATACAGCAAAATGCACTCCCTCGCTCCCTAAACAAATTACAAAAATTGCAGTTTATGCAGAGGAACCATTTACATCAGTTTGCTCCACATTATCCTCTTGAGCATTTCAGCCCTTTTAGACTGCCCCAGAGGAGCTTGTGCTTTGGCTCCATCCTGGAAAGGTGTTGATGCCCGCTGGCCGTGGTGCCCAGTGAGCACACACAGCCAGAGAGTGGCAGTCCCACCCGAGCCCTGCAGGCACAGGGGCAGCTGCAAGGGTACTCACCCTGACCACCTGCCAGCAACCAGGGCTGCCTTGTCCCCTGCTCCACAGCAGCCATGCAGCTACTGTAGCATGGCACTAAGCCTGAGCTAACAGCCTGTCCGCTGTGGGAATTATTACTCCTGGGTTTAGTGCAAATTATGACGATGTACGTGGTCTGACTTCCATTTTGCAGCTCGCTCATGTGCATGTGTTTGCCAGATAATGCTTGGAGCTACCAATGGTCCCTCTTGTTATCTCACTGTCTGCAAGCCTTGGTGTTCTTTCACTCAGTTTCATTTTATTACAGGTAAGAATTTAAAGACTGAGATATTACAGCCTAGATTATACCTCTTGTGAGGCTCTCTCAAAGCCTCTGTCTGCTTCCATGTAAAAACACTCTGAATTTCTCCTATCTGCCTTGGGTCTCCAGGCAATCTCTTCTCCCTTCTGAAAGGAGAGACCCTGGCTTAGACTTTGCGACTGCTGCTGATGTCCCATGACTTTGACACAGATCTCTTTCCCAGATCTCAGTTACAGTCAACATCTGAGTGACAATTTCTCTCTCCAGGCTCCCACAGAGCTGAATGCACAGACTTTGCAAACTGTCTCAAAAGCAGCCATTCTTCACTTTAATGACCACAAGAGATACACAAAGCCATATGAAATAGTAAACACACATACATCTCTCTGCCTACATTTCCTCACTACTGAATTTTCCTTGAGATTTTGTGAGATCCCCTCCCATTCCCCAGAAGCACAGACATCAGTTTCTTCCAATGAAGAGGAGGCTTCCACTGCCTCCCCAACGCCTCTGCATCTTAAGACCTCTCTGGTGTGTCCGTGCAACATTTTACCTTTCCTGAGCAAGCCATTTCTGCTTCCAAAAATCCTTACTGGCTTTGAAATCCAAACATTACCACCTGGCTGCTTTGTCTTGATTCCTTGTGGGAGAGATATGCTGTCCTTATTTAAGATCTCATTCTTCATTTGCCCCTCCTAGTTAAGAGTAAACGAGATGGAAAGAGTCTGTAATGACTGACACTCTGGCACTCCTCCTGTCTCTTGTTAGCACATGACAGCCCCAGGCACAGGGAGACTCACAGTTCATGGAAACAAAATGGAATTTATAACTTATGTGATGATTCAAGGAATCTGTCTATGTACAGACAAAATAAAATCACACAAGTGACAGAATAGAAAATTGTCTCTTTGAGATGAGTGTGAAATACCTACACAGAATTTGCCTTACCAACTTCTTCATCTTTTGTCTCCTGCCATGGGTATGAGAAAGCTGAACAAGGGAAGATCTGGGCAAAGGATCTATTGGCTGGGCTTCGCCAACTTCATGGCCCTTGGTTTTAGGAACGAATTCTACATGGTACCACAGGTTGTTCAACTTTAACAGGAAATTTGGGAGGTAGGCCAGTTGCTATTGCTGGCTCCAAACCCAGCAAGTGATGGCAGAAGAGCTGAAGTAGCCCTTGAGCTCCAGTTCATGGGGTTTGTGACAAACCACCTCCTGGAGTTTTAATTGAATGCTGTCTTTTCCTCTCTGTAGAAATTGTGAGGCCAAATTCTGACACTGATAATTCACTTTCTTCTCTGAAAACCCAGTTTTTTATCTTTTATCCCAACTATGCACACAACCCTTTTATTGTTAACAAAAATTACTGTGTGCATAGAAAGCCACAACAAAACTCAAGCAAGAAGCTTGACAGGAGGTACTTCAGGGTTTGAACTTAAAACTTGACTGGTTCTAAACAGAGAGATCACCTGAACAATGAGTTGGTCTGGTTCCTGCCTGCAGGTGACAGGAGAGGTCCACATACAGGAATAGAAGAATGTCTCCAATGTCCAAAACAAATCAAGTATCTAACTCCCTCATTCAAAGGAGACAATAGATGGTCCTTGAGAAAAACAGCACAGCATTTTTATGTACTCTGAAGACCAAAGATAGAAGACTTTTAATAAAGAGAAACTAGGGAGAACAAAGCTTATAACTTTCCACACTAAAAGACAAAGCTGTGAGGAAAAAAAACCCACAAACTTGAAGAAATAACTGGCAAAGACAACAGAAACCACATAAAATTACTTTGTTTCATGGGGAAATATTGCAATTCAATGTGGACATGGGGATTAGGGAAACTGTATTTGGTACTAGATTTCAGCAAAAGAACCTGGTTTGGAGGTTAATGTAAATGAAGAGAAGCAGTGACAACAAATAGAATCAAGGGCTGACCGTGAATCATGAATATTTCAGTTACTGAATTTCTTCCATTGCCTCAAAAGCTTATTCATTTCTCCAGGAGAGCACAGCAGAAACAATCACACTAATCCTGCAAATATCTCTAGTCCAGGACACCACCAAAGAAAGTGGTGTTACACAGATAAAAGCACTAATATTCTGCTGCTTTTGGATTCCCTTCTCCTGTGTATGACCAATTCTGGTATTCTAGTAACTTGAGACTGACTTAATTTGCATTACACATATATTTCTGTTCCTGTTGATTAATTAATTAACACACTGAAAAGATGACCCAAGGCATTGATCAGGCCCCATTTGCTCTAATAATCTCTGAACTCTGCAATCAGATCATTGAATTCTCAACTACTTAAGTCTAATGGGCTGGGAGATTTGAGACAACAGTTTAAATATAAAGCTGAGACACTCAGCAGCTTTTAGTCAGCTAAATTCATTTAGGGTATGTATCAATATATCACTCCATACCTTACTAGTCATTCTGGATTTTGCTTTGCTTCACACTGTCCACATTTGCAGTTGGTAATTGCCACAGATTTTTGCATTGTAAAATCTCAACCATGCTGTCTATAATGACCAATGAAAGCAGGACAGCAGGGGCATTTCAAGTTTCAGGACATCCGAAGGGTTGTTGGGCACAGTGCTAGATCATGCAATAAGTACATGCATTGCATGTTCCTCCTAAAGCAATCAGCTGAGAAATAATTCACATTGTGAATATTAACTTTGTCATCTGAGGGCATGGAAGTTAATGACACATAGAAATTAATTAAACGATTCACCTCTCTCTCAGACATATTGTTTTAGGGGAACCAAGAAGACAGCTCTTCATTAATTGAGTTCACTTTTTATTTCATAATCATGTCTCCTAGAAACTAAAAAAAAAAAAGAAAAAAGAAAAAAAGAAAAAAAGCGTTTGGAGAAAACTGTTTTAAGAGGCCAGTTTCAGAAAAGCAGTCTCCCAAGAGTTGTGCCACCTCATGCCTATTCAGTTGATGTAGTTATACTAGGCAAATACAATAAAAGATATATAATAATATAAAAAGAACC